ATCGTGCGTTTCATGATGCTAAACACTTTTGGGAAGTTGCTAATCATGATTAGAAACAAAAACGCGTGGAAAACTTATGATTAGAGGCCAAAACAAAGATTTCAAAATCCTGACTTTGTGAAAATTTCAGTTTCAAGTTACCAAATTCAAATCCATGGCATTTCCAACTCAAGGGGTCTTGGGGCATAATTATTGATGCTTTGGAAAGATGAGGTTACAAGCTTTGCAATGGAAAAAGAATGGAATCAAATGGATGCTTGAGCTGAAAGTTACATGGAGTCAAAGTTGAAGAAAAATAGTTGACTTTCCATACTTAGAAATATTTCAAATTCTTCTTCCAAAATGACCTATAATCTTTTGTATCCAAACATGGCCTTCCACTTAGAATTTGCTCTTGACCAAAAAATATGGAATGAAGTAGATCTCTTGAATTACAATTTTATATTTGAACCACTCAAAATCTCCAAAAATTGAGCAAGTTATGACTTGTTGAAGTTGGCCAAAAATCATGAAATGACCTATAATCTTTTGCATTCTTAAGGAAACTTCCATCCATTTTATCACTTTGCACATGAAAGAAAGCATAAAGTACACATATTTAAGATCATCATGTAAAAAGAATGGACTCAAGGTGATAAAAATTGACCAAGTTATGACCATTTGAAGTCACATATGGAAAATTGGGGATTCATCTGGATGACTTCTAATCTTTCTTCTTCACCAAGTTCCTTCCACATGAAAACTCCTTGGAACTTTTGAAGTGATTTGTTGGTAACTCTTTAAATATAAAGATGTCTTTGGAATCACTCAAAAATACCTAAAGGTGAGCAATATATGCTCCTTTGAATTTCAAAACCCTGACCCATAGATCAAGAGAATGCTTTGAGGAACTTTGACAAGTTTGAACAAACTTCTTGTGCCAATATTATTTCTTTGTAAATAGAAGTTGTTGAGGATGATGATGAGGCCTCATATCCACCAAAAACACTTCCATATCTTGAAATTAGAGAGAAATATGCTCTTGTGACCAATAGGAACAAGACCTTGTCCAATTATGACAACTTCTTCCCTCAACCCCTTGTACTTTTGAATCAATTTTGATAACTTTGAGATATGTTGAACCAAAGTAAGCCTTGTCATGCCATTTCTTCCAAAACCACTCCAATAGTGAAGTTTGAATTTCTCAAGCTATTGACTAGGGCATGTAAATAAACTCATGAACCCATGAAGCAACTTGCTAAACCTCATTGCCTTTACCTACATTATTAACAAGTAAGACAAACCAACATTGCATTTTATTAATTTAGGAAGAAAATCAAAACAAAATATTCATGATCACAAAAGAAAATAAGTCAAGGTGCTTGGTAACTCCTCAAAAGAGCAAAGCTAAAGATAGGGAGAAGAACCAAAAGCCTTAATGTGATCTTGTTGTGATTGAATCAACATGGTATGATGAATGGATCTTAGGGGCAAAAATTGGGGTACAACAACATCCATAACTCACAAAAAACATATCTCAACATATGGATCATTCACAATATTATAGTATTGTTGCTCATATTAACGGTGAGATGTTCAACTGCGATAACTTCAGTTTTAATTTTCGTAATACCAATTTTATCCGCTTTCGGACACACAAGAAATTAAGTTTTGCACGTTTCAAAGATATACTAGAAGCAAAATTGCAGTGTGGTCCAGTTTGCCAAATTCTTTACAAGTCTCCATTTCTGTTTGAAAACAACCAAGTTAGATTTTATCAACTAAAGATGCGCAACGATGATGATGTTCGAAACATCTTTCGAACTCATGAACAATCCGGGTTCAATGAGATTGAGCTGTATGTTTTATTACAATAACCTGATTAATCTCAGGTGGTAGATCCTTCTCCAGATTTTGAAGAAGAGGATGGATCTAACGAGGACAACCACCCCAAAGTCAATGTTATTGACCAAGAAGAAGAAGAAGATGATGAGACAAGGATTGATTTTAAGGTCAATAATGACAATGCAGATCAAGAGCATGAACCTCTACTTACGAGTCATGCGTATGACCCTCTGTTTCACATGACGAACTTGAATTTGGGGGAAGACGAACCAACCTCAGATATCTTTCACAATCCTTATATGAAGATTGAAGGGGCCTTGAAAGTTGGAGACATATTTTGTACAAAAGAAGAGTGTGTTAGAGTTATAAAAAAATACCACATGGAAATTTTATCTGATTTCAATATAGATCAAACTAATTCAGGGAGGTTCATTATTTTATGTCGTCAAAAACCAAATTTTCCCTTTTACTTTAACAACATCTTACAAGAAGAGAAGTGATTCATGGGAAATATGTACCATTGATCCACTCCACACTTGCATCACCACTGTTCCGATGCAGGATCATCGGAAACTTATTTCTCAAATAATATGTCAAGAAATATTGCCTCTTATTAGCAAGGATACATCATTAAAGGTGAGTACAATTATTTATCATATCGTTACAAGATTCAATTATACTCCCTCTTACAGGAAGGTATGGATCACGAGGACTAAGGAAGTTGAACTTGTCTACGGTAATTGGGAGGAATCGTACAAAGAACTTCCAAGATTTTTGGTGGCACTCAAATATTATACTCCGAGAATTGTTATAATTTTGGAGACACTCCCGACTTTTACCTTAGACAAAACTCGTGTCAGTGGAAATGGAATATTTCATCAAGTGTTCTGGGCGTATGAACCATGCGCCAAAGGTTTTTCATTTTGCAAACCTATTATACAAATTGATGGAACTTGGTTATACGGAAAGTATAAAGGAACATTGCTCATGGCAGTGGCACAAGATGGCAACAATAATGTTTTTCCGATTTCCTTCTCTCTAGTTGAAGGTGAGACAAGTGGTGCGTGGAGTTTCTTTCTGAAGAATCTTCGATTACACGTTGCTCTTCAACCCAACCTTTGTTTGATTTCAGACAAACATCCATCGATTGTGAGTGCATACAATAACCCTGATAACGGTTGGTAGGATCCCCCTTCAACACATGTCTATTGCATTAGACATGTCACACAAAACTTCATGCTCCATATCAAAGACAAGACACTTCGAAAGAAAGTTATTAATGCATGGTATGCCTTAACATAACCATCATTCCAACACTATCGCGAATAAATCCGGTTGACTAACTCAGAAGCATTAAGGTGGATCGATAATATTCCAGTGGAGAAGTGGACTCGGGCATTTGACAATGGTCAATGATGGGGCCACATGACAACAAATTTGGTGGAATCATTGAACTCTGTCTTCAAACGCATTCGAAACCTACCAATTACTGCTTTGGTTAGAGCAACATATTTTAGGTTAGGGTCATTGATCGACACAAGAAGTTCAAAATGGAGGGCAGTGTTACAATCAGGGAAGTTGTTTAGTGAATGCATAATGAAATCATTTAACGAGGAGGCCGCCAAAGCAAACACCATAGTGTCACCGTGTTTGATCGTATTAAAGGTTGGTTCAGTGTACAATAATGAATCATAATGAGGGGAGACCAAGGGAATATTATCGGGTCAAACTAGATAAAAGTTGTTGTGATTGCAGAAAGTTCCAAGCATTTCGCATGCCTTGCTCTCATGTCATAGCGGCATATTCGCATGTTCACTTGGACCCAATACGACATATATCCTCCGTTTACACAATAAAGAGTGTTTTAAGTGTGTACATCAATACCTTATCCATGTTGGCAAAGGATGATTATTGGCATGCTTAACAAGGGGACATTGTTTGACACAATGAACAAATGCGATGGAAGAAAAAAGGATGCCCCAATAGCACTCGTATTAGAACTGAAATAGATATGGTCAACAAAATGATAAGATTCTGCAGTAAATATCGTCTTCCCGGGAGTGGAAGACATTTTCTAAGAGTGATGTGAGAAATGGTGTGATAAAATGAAGAAGATTGGTAGTTGCATTTATAGAAAACCATATACAATTGTCAAGCCACACAAGGTGGAGCCTCCTCTATAATTATGCCTGCATGCGCCACATTGTATGGCATTACATAGGAGGGCAAGCCATGCAATGTGGCGCCTCCTCTCTATTTTCTATGCATGCGCCACACAGAATGGCGCCTCCTCTGTGTGATGATTTTTTTTTGTTTAAAAAATAGTTATTTTAGTAAATTTTTTAAAAATGTGATTATTTAGATTTTTGTTTTTGAAAAAAATGATAATTTAAAAAAAAAATTCTAATTATTTTGCACAAAAATTAAAGTTGAATAAAATATTAAAAATATTAAACTAGTAGATTGTATGCATATTATTATGTTGTGGTGTTAAAAAATTACTATAAAAATATCTTTTTTTAAATTATCAATATGTATTACTCCGGTCTGATTTATAAATAAAAAAGATAAATTTCACGTTTATTAAGAAAGACAATTGAATATATTTACTTTATTGATTTCACGTATAAGAGATAATATAATTATTAGTATACTCTAATTAAATTGTCACCATTAACAATATTAAGTAATTATAGCACAAAGAATTTTGTAATACAAATATTAAATGCACTTAAATTTGTAAACAATTACTTAAACATAAGGTCAAAAAATATAAAAGACTTTTGTTTATAAATAAGGCCGAAAGGAGTAGAAATTAAAAAATTCATGGTTCATGAAACATTTTTGTTTTATTAGGTTGTAACCATACACGTATTTCTCCGTTTGCTAATTGAAAAACAATCCCATCAATAAATGTCCCCTTAGAACCATACACATGTGCCTACCATGTCTCCTATTCACATTTCTTGTAATACACTTAACTTTCTTTCTGTCCCTTATAATTCCAATGTCCAACATCCCTTCCATCTCAATCTCTTTCCAATTTTTGCACCACTTTCTAGTTTCACACACAATCTACACGAACACAAAATTATTAACACGCTTTGTTTCACTTTTATAAACCACACGCTTTCTCTTTTTCTCTCTAGAGTATAGCTGGAAATTAACTTAAATTTATGGCTTCTTCAAATGGCTTTGGCTCTAGCACTAGCTCTTCAGGATCACCATGTGGGGCATGCAAGTTTCTCCGTAGAAAGTGTACATCTGAATGCATATTTGCACCTTATTTTTGCTGTGAAGAAGGACCTAATAGATTTGCAGCTATTCATAAAGTGTTTGGTGCTAGCAACGTTTCTAAGATGCTCTTGCATATACCTCCTCAAGATCGCTATGATGCTGTTGTCACAATTGCTTATGAAGCTCAAGCTCGTATTATAGATCCAGTTTTTGGTTGCGTCTCCCATATTTTTGCTTTGCAGCAACAGGTACACTTTCAAACCTTATAGAGTGCAATGCCAACTACAGTATAAGACATAAAATTTGTTACAATTATATCGTGTTAATAAAATTTTATAAAATATTTGTTATCATTAAATCGCGGTTAAATATGACTTCAATTTATTTTATCATAGTTAAATTGATCTTAACCTACACAACTTCTCTAAAAAAAACTGCTATGAGTTTAGTTATACTAATGAGCTACCCTAATTTTCATTTTAGGGTTTAGAGACTGATCTTTCTACCATACTTGTCTCTTACACAACAGTTCATTTGTATTTTGGTTAGGTAGCAAGCTTGCAAGCACAACTGATGCAAGTGAAGGCATGTCTGAGTCAAAACATAGAAGAGTCAAAGAACATGGGGAATCAGTGGTCAGGGAATGTTGCTAAACAACAGTTAATCAATCCAATTTGTGCCACTAACATGAACCCTATATCTCCTAAGAGTTCGCTTGAGTCGATTGATTATAGCAGCTGCAGCATCAGTGATGGAATGAGCATGCAAGACATACAAAGCAATAGAGAGGGTTTCACTTTCTCATTCCAAGCTTGTTCTAAGAAAAATAATAATTTGACTGAGCTTCAAGAACTGGCTCTCAGAATGGCAGGGAACTAAAATTAGGTTATGTTATAATTAAAGCTTGTGTTAAATCTTATTTGTCTTTAATTTGCTTTCTTGAAGGATTTATATCTCTTGATATATATGTGGAGGAACGCTCATTGCCTAGTTTTGTACTAGTACATATAAAGAGTCTACCATGCTTTCAAATTGCCTCGGTATTTAATGAAACAAATTGAAATTATGCTATGAAGAATAAATAACACCGTAGTACATGCTATGATGGTGCTACTTTTTATATCATTTACGAAAATTTAAAATAGTTTCATAACGCAACAATTGCAAAGATAACAACTCAAATCTATTTTGTCAACATTAAAAAAAATGTTTAGCCCAAGTTTGTAACATGCTTTTCTATTTATGAACTCAATAAAAAAGAAATAATTTATTCCATTTCGTAATAACGGTTATATTTTAGTCGGGTCGAGAATATATTTAGTGATCATATACTACTACAAAATAGATATTTTATAACATTATTATTATAACGGTCATTTTGTTAACCGTGGTAATAATTCTTTTTTGGATGTTTTTTTTTGTATTTACTGAAAGACATTTCATTATGGTCGTTGTTGCTAATCGTAATGAAATGTATCTAGAGTGGAAATTTTGAATCTCAACACCAATAATTTTTTATTTATCGTGATAAAATGGGTTTGTCACCACAGTTTTTATAATCAACCGTGGTGTCAGGTGCAATCATTTCATCACGGTTCATATTATCAACCGTGGTGAAAAGTCTAAAATATGTATATATATAAGCGAAATTATCTCTCACTTCAGTACATAGCAACAATTTCTCTCAAACAAAAACCCTAATATCTCTTTCACTGGTCTTTCTGAAAACAAAAACTCTAACATCTCTTTCACTCGTTTCTCTCAAAACAAAACCCTAACATATTTCTCACACTCGTCTCTCTCATATAGAAACTCCAAACTCGTAAAACAAAGTCGTCTTCTTCGAAGTTACCTTTGTTGCATCAAATCTGAAGAAATGGCTACCTTACAAGTTCGTCTTCACAATAGTTTATGTTTTAAAATTTATTTATGTATTATTGTTTACATTTCGATAACTTGTTTTATAATGTTTGATTTTTCTGATTGCTTTGACTTGTAAGTAGGGAAGGTGAATGAAAAAAATTAACGAGGATGAAGCTAAAGTGAGCACTGCAAACTTGTGTGAAAGATTCAGAATGACACTCATTCAAATTTAACACAAGTTTGTAGCTATCACTTCAGCTTCATCCTCCTTTCATTGTAGATGTTATTATGGGACAAGTATGTTTCTGAAATATTTTATGAGTTGATATGTTTTGTTATTAATAAAAGTTGTATGTTATATGCAGTTTATGTTATGTTTTGATGATTTTGTTATTTTTAATAAGAGTTTGAAGTATCTTGTATGTTGTTTATGGTTTGTTGTTGATGATTTTTTTTAATCAAAATAATTTTGTTAAATTCAAAAAGAATAACAATACAAGGCGATCGAATAGGATCTAGCCCACTAAACAACAAAAAAAAAGAAAAAACTAAAAAGGAAGCAAATGAGATTAACCATCGTCCTTTTAGCAACATGCTTCCTAACCTTTAAATTATAAAATCCTCTATAAACAATATTACTTATTATTTTTTGCTTTATGTTGCTATCATTTATATCATTATGAAAATTATATCATTTCTAAACTTCTAAGAACTATAAATGGTTTCAGTGGCTGCTAGCTTGAGGATCATTGATTTCCAGCCTTTTCCTCTGCCCTTTGCAATCAACCACTTCAGCTCATCATTCCCCTCTTCTGGCTCATGCTTGACTTTGATCAACTCTAAGATATTCTTTCAAATATTCTTTAAAATGGTACACCCAAAGAACAAGTGCTGGATAGATTCATCTTGCTGACAGAAACAACAGTTCTTCTCAACATCTATCCCATATTTATGGAGTTTGTCTCTTGTTGCCAATCTAGCATGACATGTCATCCAAAGCACAAACTATGCTCTAGGTCTAGCCAAGTTGTCCATAAAAAGTCTCTTCCATTCTACTTCATAACCATCATCTTTTAGGATCCTATACATATTTTTCATGTTGAATCTATCTTCCTGCCCCATTTGCTCCCAAATCAGATTATTCTGCACTTTACTTCTCCCTTGCATGATATGTTTCAGTACCCAATAACAAGTATTTTTAATATCACCAGTCATTAACTTATCATTCTTTAGATAGTAGGTATAAACCCACTTAACCCAAAGATTTTCCTTTTTGCCATTGATGTTCCAAAGCATTTTTGCAAGATGAGTTTGGTTACAAACTCCCAAATCAATAATGTTTAACCCCCATGGTGTTTAGGACTATAAACCTTACTCCAAGAAATAGGATATTTCCTATTGATTTTTTTCTTACCAGTCCAGATAAAGCTTATGCACACAACCTCAATATTACTAGTGTCTGCTTTAGGCCTGAATTCTTGTTGTTGATGAATGTTATTGTTAACGAATGTTGTTGATGAATGTTGTTGTTACTCTTCGTTTTAAAATAATTTTATTATATCTTATGTGGTTTTGAATTTTTTTCCAACCCCTTAAAGAATATATAAATTTTTGAATTGTATTAGAAAATTATAATATGATAGGTAAAGTTATATTAGAAAACAAGTTACACATTCAATGCTAGATAAGAATTCTTCATCCTATTCTATGCATTTTGTCCTTTAATCATTAAAGCTTGGTTTAATACTTCTAATTCTTCAACCACCCCTTTTTCCATCTCTAATTTTATTTGAAAAGTAAATAATATTTTGCAAAATAAACTATAGATGAAATAAGGGGAGGTTGAAGAACTTGGAGCATTAAACCAAGTTCTAATTGTTAAAAAGTAAAATGCAGATAAGGAGCTGAAGAATTCTTGTTTATCATTGAACGTGTAACTTGTTCTTCTAATATAACTTAATTTGTCACATTATAATATTCTATATCATATTGAAACATTATATGTTTAGTGAGTATTTGCGAAATAAGTATTCTACATAACTTATAATAAACACATTGTATATATCACAACAGTTGTTTAGAACAACAATTGTTAAATGTTATACGTTAAAGAATATCAAACAGTTGTTTGAAGTAACAGTTGTGATAGGTAGAGGCAAAAATGGTTGGTCGGGCGTGGTGGATCCCTTTTACAACTGTTGTAAAATGGATTTTACTTAGTAGTGATATAAAGTCTCTAACCATAATAATAAAATTAAGTTCATTAGTTGGCAAGAGGGACTAAAATCAAAAGATATGATATTATAATGACGGCAGACAAGTGGGGTATCATTCTGTGAACTATTAAAAAACTTATGTGAATTCAGGAATCAAGATGAACCTAATGTTTTAAAAAATAGAATCAAAGTCAAACTAGTGAAACTTTCAATTTAAGGTTCAATTGGATCAATTATTAAACTTACAGTTGAACCGTTTATTAAATAAGTTAATAATATGAACCTAAATTACATAGATATGTCATACACAATAATATATTCACAACTTAATAAAATAAATGTTTCAAAAATTCATTACAAAATTAATACAAAAATATCAATACTAAACATAATAAAAAACATAGTTGTACACTCAATTTCAACCTTCATTTAAGAATAATTTGAAACAAATTAAAGAATGACAATAAAATAAGTTTAACCAATTCAAACCAAAATAAAAATAATAGAATATAATACCTAAAATAAAATTCAAATGACCAAAGAATTACAAAAATAAACAAAACAATATATTTAATTGAGCACAACATTTGTGTTGTGGAGTTATAACTTGAACATTCATGATTATCTTCATTATCTTCTGCAGCTTAGCAAGCTTTATACAGTATATAGGATTGTGCAAATTGTAAATTAATTATTTCATTGTAATCATTAACAAAATGATTGGATAAACATTTTGATGACAGTTGGTCTTGTTGTTGTTATAGTGGTTCACAAATTTAGTTTTGGTCTAGCAAATGAATGTTATCTTTTAACATTGAACACCAACAACATCGACTTACAACTTGAAGCTCTTAGCACCCAGCCAAACAGCTTATGGTAAGCTCATCAATATTCAACATCATGTGTTGAGCAACAACTAACCAAGAATAACCAACACACTAACCAACAACACTTTAAACGTACAATTCTTTTCTTATATAGCCAAGCAAAATAGAGCCGTTGGCTATTTTAAAAAGAATCGTTACAAATAGGGCTATAACGTCCTTATCTCTTCCACACTTTAAGTTAATGGAGAGGTTGTGGTATAAAGCTTTTCGTACTGTGTACTATTGTACTGTGTTACCGTTCTATTCTTTCCTTTTGCACTTCAGAGGCTTCTACGAGCATGAGATTAGAAGCGAGAACATAACATAAGGTCTTCAAAACTTCAAGTCTTTAGAGTCTTCAGAACTGCGTCTTCAGAGTCTTCAGCACTTGGTTATGAGAACCTGTTGTAGTGAAACTTTAGATCAAAAGAGATTCAAGTCTTCAGAGTCTTAAGAATTGCGTCCTTAGAGTCTTCAGCCCTTGGTCTTCAGAACCTGTTTTAGATAACCTTGGACCTTTAGAACTTCAAGTCTTTGGAATCTTCAGATCTTCTGTCTTTTAGAATCTTTAGCACTTAGTTCTTTAAGAATCCTTAACTTCAGAACCTTGTTATTAGAAACACAAAGTCTTTGGCATCTGGACTTCAGTAGAAACTTCGTCTTCAGATATTTTAACTTTGTTTCTTGAAACACACTGACTTTTAGAAACGTGATTCTTCAGCATCTGGTTGTAAGTAATAACTTCTATCTTCAGATCTTTTGACTGGTTTCTTTAGACAAATATCACAGTTTACACTTCAAAGCCTTCTGGAGTGTCTTGCTATTGTTTAACAGAACTTGTGTAGCATGGAAGCAGAATCATTTCTCTTCTAATGTCTTGGCCACGCCATCCATCAAAAGCAGAACCTGTTTGTTAAGTACTTAACAATAACAA